TCCAAAAGACTAAGACTCAAACTAAAAGGGCTGCCAAAAACAACGCTGGTTGCCCGCGAAGATGTCCTCTTCGGGGAAAGCAGGATTGGGCTGGTCAGCCCGGGAGTCCCCCAGTAGTGCGTCGTCGTCGTCACCGTGTCCCCCATCCGAAACAGAAAAGCCGAGCTCGGCACACTGGGTCGCGGCAACTTTGAGACGGCGTCGTAAAAGCTTCTTGGGCAGCATAAGACAATGACTGCAATTCTCCGGGTTCTCCAAGGCTTCTTGAGCGTGTTTGAGGCCCAAGCAGACCTCGCAGAATGAGTGCAGGTCCTTAGCGGCGATGAGAGCACCACACGCGGCCGGGCAGCCCCCATCAGAGCTCATTCCACGAGGGGCTTAGCCGCCTCTTGGGCTCTGTTTAGGGGAGTGTCACTGCAGGACATCTGCTCCGCTGCCAGTGGGGCTTCTCCTCATACGTTTGTGCGTTACTACCGGCTGGATGTCACCAGAATCTCGGTAGCACATTCAGTTTTAGGGGTGGGGTCTTCTTAGCCCTTCCCTGCAACCCCGTTGGAAGTACAAATAAGGAGTGAATGGGCCGGCTGGCCATGGACATTGCTCTCCCATAGGTGGATCTCGAACACGAGATGATGAAAGAGAACAATAGGTTACTATCGTAACCCCGGTTCTCTGAAACATCGAGTGGAGAGATCCACCAGCTTTGCCCCGCTTGCCACACGAGAAGCGAATATACTTACTGGAGAATAGCAGCGCTTGCAGGCATATATGCCCTCAGGTAGGGGGCGGGGCCTCACCGGGCATTGGCTGCGCGCCTCTGTCTGTTAGCCAGACTTGGTGCAATTGGATGCTTCTGCAGAGGTCAGGTACGGATGCCCTTCCCATAGGTAGATCTCTCCACTCGATGTTTCAGAGAACCGGGGTTACGATAGTAACCTATTGTTTCAACGCCGCTTTACAGAGATAACAGGACAATAATGCAACACAGTTTGTTTCCAGAAGAGAATAGCGTCACAGTGCAGCTTCAGTAAGTTCAGTGATGGTTCATTTCTGTTGTAAAGTAATTAATTCAGTTCATTTATATATACACTACTGTTCAAAAGTTTGGGGTCGGTACGATTTTAAATACTTTAAAAAGAATTCTCTTCTGCTAACCATGGCTGCGCTTATTTGATTAAAAATACAACAAAAATCAGTTATAGTATTAAATATTATTCCAGTGTAAATCAGCTGTTTTCTGTGTGAATATATAGTAAAGTGTAATTTATTCCTGTGATCAAAGCTGAATTTTCAGCATCACCAGTGTCAGTGTCTTCAGTGTCAAATGATCCTTCACAAATCAGTATAATATGAGGATTTGATGCTCAAGAAACATTTATTATTATTATCAAACAGTTGTTGGTCTGTCAGTTGTACAGTTTTTTTTTTTTTTAGGATTCTTTGATGAATAGGAAGTTCAAAAGAACAGCATTTGTAGAATCTTTTGTAACATTATAAATGTCTTTTCTGTCCTCCAAAAAATAAAAATAAAATTCTCACTGACCCCAAACTTTTGAACGGTAGTGTATATATATATATATATATCGCCGCTCTGGAGAAAACCGTGATGTCATCGTCCAGCTCAGTTCAGTTCTCATATAATGTACACAGTACGAACACTATAGAAATGTTATACATGTATAACGAACACTGTACAAAATGGTGTTTTGGCAAAAAAGTATTTATTCAAAATGTTGCTGTTCTTACTTAAATATTGAGGAATGTAAGGGCCCTTTCACACCTACCTTGTTTGGTCCGGACTTTCGGACTTTTCAGTTTGGTCCGAATCAAAATGACAGGTGTGAAACCTCCCCCGGACCACGGTCCGGACCAAACAGATCAGATTTGGTCCGACGAAAAGAGGTAGTCTCGGTCCGGATCAAACTGAACAAAGGTTTGGTTCGTTTCTAGTGTGAAAGCATTTCTGTATGGTTCGGACTTTCGGACCTTTTACAGGACGCTCCGGTGGTTCCCGCATAGCCGAAAAACAGAAGCTGGCAGGAAAAATGAGCCGTGGCACATGGGGAGAGGAGGAGGCGAGGCTTTTAATCGAAGTAGGCCTATGGTCTGATAACATAATAAAAAGTCAACTTGCAGTCTTCTCCTCCTTTCCTGCCGGCGACGATAAAATGTTCGCACGACGAGGACGTTCATTTGGCGAATTTGATCTAGCCTTGTGTATAGTTGGTGCTGCAGGTAATTATACCATACAAATAACAATATAGTTGCAACGATATGCGTCTGTTCATCATGTTGTCTACCCGCCGAGTTGACAACACGCTGACGTCAGACGCACGTCCACTTACAAACCAATCGATGTCGAGATGCAGCCCACATAGATGATGACGACAGCGCAAGTGTGTCACGTAAAGTTCTCTAGTGCGCTCGCATACTTGCAGTGTGAAACCAAACCAAAACTTTCTGAAAGTATAAAATGTATCAAAACGTGAACTTTGGTTCGGACCTTGGTGTGGACTTTCAGGTGTGAAAACGCCCTAAATCTCTTTCATACACGTTGTTTTCGTAGGTTCTACAAGTGTTTACAGTATTTATTTATTACAAATTCCATGTTATTATTATTTGTTTAATTTAGAAACCATATCCATGTTTACCCTTGACTGCTGAGCTTACTAATAGCTGAACATTTTAATCATTCTTATGAATTTTATTTGAAGTAATTGTTAATTTGATGAAATATGAATATTAGTCTTACATGAATTAGGTGTGAGATCTTTATGGAGTTAATATTGTGCCATAATTAAACACAAAGGTTACACTTTATTTCGATAGTCACTTTAGACATTCTACTAACTATAAGTAACTTTTCAACAACATGTCAACTACCTGTCATTAGAGTATTAGTAGCCTGTAGTAGACTGTCAGTAGACTGGTAGGTTATGGTTAGGTGTTAGGGTTCGGGTTAGAAGAACAAGTTGACTTGTAGTTGCTAAGTTACTTATAGTTAGTAGAGTGTCTGTTGGGGGACCAACAAAATAAAGTGTTAGCAGATATTAAGCAGACAGTCTACTAATCCTCTAATGACAGTTAGTTGACATGTAGCTGCTAAGATACTTATAGTTAGTATAATGTCTAAAGTGGACTATCGAAATAAAGTGTTACCAACACAAATCCAGCATTTTGCAAACAAACTCGACTGGCAAACAAACAGAGCAATGTGCAAATACAAAGGTCAATTTGAGCAAAAATGCAGTGGAGTAACACATATGTATTGTGTTTTGCAAATATAAATTAATGAGCATATATAATATTTCACAAATAAATACAAACCATCCTACAAATTGCATGTAACCTTTGAACAAATACCAAATCTAGTGCATTCAAATGCACATCTGTCTGTTATGATTGCGAGACACTTGGCTTCATGAGATCTCTCGGCTGGATTTCCTCACAGATGCAGTTGAGCGGCTTCCTCTTCTAGAACAGCAGTGTGTTTCCGTCTTTATTTATAATTACCTTTTTGAGGTTTTCTTTTGCAAAATGTTTTTACATATCTAGACAGAAACCCACATTAGCACTTCACTCTCTCTAGGATAGGGGAATCTATAAGCTCTGCCATCAAAACACACACACTGAACACACACACATGCTGAACACGGACACACACACACACACACACACACGCTGAACACACACACATGCTGAACACGGACACACACACACACACACACACACGCTGAACACACACACATGCTGAACACGGACACACACACACACACGCGCTGAACACACGGACACACACACGCGCTGAACACACACGCTGAACACGGACACACACACGCGCTGAACACGGACACACACACGCGCTGAACACACGGACACACACACGCGCTGAACACACACGCTGAACACGGACACACACACATGCTGAACACGGACACACACACACACACACACACACACGCTGAACACACACACATGCTGAACACGGACACACACACACACACACACACACACGCTGAACACACACACATGCTGAACACGGACACACACACACACACGCGCTGAACACACGGACACACACACGCGCTGAACACACACGCTGAACACGGACACACACACGCGCTGAACACACGGACACACACACGCGCTGAACACACACGCTGAACACGGACACACACACACGCTGAACACACGGACACACACACGCGCTGAACACACACGCTGAACACGGACACACACACGCGCTGAACACACGGACACACACACGCGCTGAACACACACGCTGAACACACACGCTGAACACGGACACACACACACGCTGAACACGGACACACACGCACGCTGAACACACACGCTGAACACGGACACACACGCGCGCTGAACACACACGCTGAACACGGACACAAACGCGCTGAACACACACGCTGAACACGGACACACACGCGCGCTGAACACGGACACACACGCACGCTGAACACACACGCTGAACACGGACACACACGCGCGCTGAACACGGACACACACGCACGCTGAACACACACGCTGAACACGGACACACACGCGCGCTGAACACACACGCTGAACACGGACACACACGCGCGCTGAACACGGACACACACGCACGCTGAACACACACGCTGAACACGGACACACGCGCGCTGAACACACGGACACACACACACGCTGAACACACACGCTGAACACGGACACACACGCGCGCTGAACACACGGACACACACACAGAATCTAACTCAGATCTGGAGACAAAGATGTCTTTATTTTTACAGATCAACAGAATGTGTTAAACTGTGTTTCTTGTCCAAACACTGACAAACAAGAATCATTTTAACACAATTAAGCTTTGCTGACCAAGTACAAAATATAATTCACACATACTTTTCATAAAAATACAAAATATTACATAATTACATAGATTTTACCAAATATTAGAAAAGACGGATCCGGAAGGTGTTCATCATCAGGTGTTCGCAGACATTCCCCAGTGTCATCTTTAACACACGTTCAACAAAACACCTGATATCGTGTCTTGCAATAGTTTAATTATTGATCCAAATGATCGATCAGTCTTGTATTTTCAGAATACTTCTCTTCTCTATATCATTCATCTCCTTTAAAATTAGAGAAACGTTGTACCGTAGTTCCTGGAACTTGACCACTGGAACCTAGAAAAGAGAGAGAGAAAATAAATCACACACACACACACACAGTTTTCTACAGAGAAATCACCTGAGCTGAGAACACTTGGAATAACGCACACAATTGTTTTAGGCTATATTTAAGATATGATTGTATTAATTGCAGGAGTTCTGAGCTCAGCTGCGTCCGGAAGCTCGTATGATCGTGTTTAATGGGTGGGAATGCAATATTGCCAAGAGGGGTCGTATTAATCAACCGACGTATTCATGTTGATCCAGCAAAACACCTGTAATGATTATATTATAAGAGCCATATTTGTATACTTAAAATCTTTTGTTCTGTATTTTCAGTACAGTCTCCAGAAGATAAGTAGACCTACTAAAGTCGACTCTTGTTGTTACTCGTCAGAAAATATGAAAATAAAAATGAAGCTGCTGACATGTGTGGGCTTCTGTTTTTGATGCATTAGTAAATCTCAGAGAAATGAATAATATAATGATAATAATAATGACCTGGAAGCGATGCACGTGTCCATCGGAGAGCTTGATCTGCATGAGGATCGAGGGCTGAAGAGCTCGAGCCAGAGAACTGACACACACACACACACACACACACACACGTTATCAATCATATCTGCATCGGTTCACATCCAACATTATTATTCTACGTTTCATTTATAGGCGTCTTTCATGGCACTCAAGCACACCTTACAATATCCAAAAGAGCAATGACATTAAACAGTAAAACCAGTCCAGAACAAACATTAAACCACAAAAACAGAGAGTTAAAAGACGAGCTGTAAAGAGCGAAACACTAGAACCGAAAGCTCGTGAGCCGGAGGTCCGAGTGTGTGGAAGAGCAAGTGTAAGTGTGAAGCCCTTCTGAAAGGTTAACCACCACTGTCGATTAATGGGTACATAAATCACTCAAGATATGTATATTAGTAGTGGGAAGTTCGGATCATTTTACTGACTCGGATCTTTGAGTCTGGTTTAGCAAAATCTTTTTTCGAGTCATTTCAGCATAATATAATTAAAATGGCATGTTAAATATCCCAACACATCTAGTACTTACGAACTAGCACAGTCTCTATGGGACTGACAGGAAGAACGAAGGACTCGGACCCGGCCGAACCCGAAGACCTGAGACTCGAGAGATGAACTAATCATTTCTGTTTCCAGTACAGATCCAGAACCCATATGTTGCGCATGCGCGGTCAACACAAAATGAACGAATCACTCTCTGAGAAGCTCGGGAGTCCCGAGTCATATTAAAGATTCGTTCAAAATGACGGTGATGACGTCGTCACGTTGGGGAGAGTGGAGGAAAGGGTCTCAGCCTAGTATTAGAGCTATGGCGACTGACTGGGATGAGGAAGAGGTGGCAAGAGCCAACATGTATAATTTCGAACCTGCCAGACGGGAGAGGGCAAATGAGGAACTGCCAAGAACTGATGGCCGTCGAAGCCAATTAAATGGATGGTCCGAGGAGAATGAGTGGAGAGTTGGTGAAGTGTCCTGGTGAGTTGCTAATCATTTAGCACCGCAGCGATGAGCACTGGAGCTAGTCTACGAGCAGCAGTGCACAATAACCACACTTTTTTTTTCTTTTTTTTTTACGGTCATTGAATAGCACCGAGTGAAAAATCTACGTTTTCTTTATATCTAGTGGCAGTGATCATGACGTTAGTTCAGATAAGTACCGGTAACCTTTGTCATAGTGTCGTAGTACTGGTAAACTTTGTCTTTGTCATCTAGAAATAGAAGGCATCATGCTAGCTATATGGGCGTTTCTAAGTGTTTATCTCTTCCTCCGGTGAAAATGTTGTTGCAAACGTAGCCGGCGCGCGTCTGTCGCTGTGTTTGGCCGGTGCTCGTGTGGGCGCTCCCATGGAGACTGCGTTGGAGAGCTTGTGCTGTAGGGAAGCGAGTGCGTTTCGGTCTCTGGTCGAGGAGCTCACCCCGCGACCAGATGTGACCTGCCTCACCATTCTCAATCTACCTGCTATATATTTCTATCCATTTATCTATCTAGCTATCTATGCTAACTAGAGCTGTCACGATATCTACTTTTTGTTGTGCGATATATTGCACCAACATTAATTGCGATAAACGATATTATTGTAATTTTCAGACCATTTTATGCCACTGATTACATAATGACAATATAATAGCATAATAATGCAAGTACACTGTTTTAAAGAACATTTTATTCTTATTCTATTCAATATTTAGACATTGTGAAATGTGAAAAAATATATATCACAAATAAATAAAACAAGTAAATAAATACACTTTCGTTAACAAAAAAAGTGCAAGGTATAAAGAACTAGATCAAAAAGTAGTATGTCAATTTCAACTTTTAAAGTGTCTCACACAAAGGCACAGATGCATCAACAGGACATTTCTGCTGTCAGATTAGTTTTTTAATTGTTAGGCAGATTCCGAGAAAGGAACACCAACATGTTTACGTTGTGGGGCTTAAAGGAGAACTCCGGTCAATTTTAACATTGAGCTCATTTTTTGGGGTAAATTTGGAGTGCTGTCAGTACAGAGAACAACGACAAAAATCGGTGTTGCCTACACCGTGTAACTGGCTCGCTGTAGATGTCACGAAACAGAACACTTGGTTCACGCCTTCTCTTTACCTGACGGTGTCTCTCTCTGTGTGTGTGTGTGTGTGTGTGTGTGTGGACACGCTGCCTGAGCCCCGCCTCCGACTCAGAGTGCAGACAAGATGACCGAGGCAGCGCGATCAACTAAAATGTTGGTGACATTCATTGTAATATAAAAATAAATCTAATTATTATTTTTAATAATAAAACAAATTATCAGTTGCAATATATCGCGGCACCAAAAATGATCTGGTCATTATGATCTGGAAAATTGCAGCCGTCGCGTGTGCTGACGCGCCAAGTACACTGCTGCCGTTAACGCCGGACAGAAGGGGAGTCACACCACCATATGGAAAGAAGCGTAAATGGATGGAGAAGCATAGTTTACTGTAAAGCTACGTCTTAGTTCTTATCTTGGCGAAAGCCGAGGACAAATCAGCATGAAGTTTTAACATCTACTCTCGTGTAATGGAAATCTATCTATTTATCTATAATCTGCGCTATCTGAATACTCTCGTCTACTACTCGTCTCTCAGTCACTCTCAATAAACTCAAGGCGGGCTTTGGTAATTCTCTCCCCAAGGTGATGTAATAGTAACGAACACCTATGCTGTTGCTATAGTAACGAACGCATGCGCCAAGTGTCTACTGTTGCTATAGTAACTAACACATGCGCCGGGTGTATACTGTTGCTATAGTAACGAACGCATGCGCCGAGTGTCTACTGTTGCTATAGTAACGAACGCCTGTGCCGGGGGTCTACTGTTGCTATAGTAACGAACGCATGCGCCGAGTGTCTACTGTTGCTATAGTAACTAACGCATGCGCCGGGTGTATACTGTTGCTATAGTAACGAACGCATGCGCCGGGGGTCTACTGTTGCTATAGTAACGAACGCATATGCCGGGGGTCTACTGTTGCTATACTAACGAACGCCTGTGCCGGGGGTCTACTGTTGCTATAGTAACGAACGCCTGTGCCGGGGGTCTACTGTTGCTATAGTAACGAACGCATGTGCCGGGGGTCTACTGTTGCTATAGTAACGAACGCCTGCGCTGGGGGTCTACTGTTGCTATAGTAACGAACGCCTGTGCCGGGGGTCTACTGTTGCTATAGTAACGAACGCCTGCGCTGGGGGTCTACTGTTGCTATAGTAACGAACGCCTGTGCTGGGGGTCTACTGTTGCTATAGTAACGAGCGCCTGTGCTGGGGGTCTACTGTTGCTATAGTAACGAACGCCTGCGCTGGGGGTCTACTGTTGCTATAGTAACGAACGCCTGCGCTGGGGGTCTACTGTTGCTATAGTAACGAACGCCTGCGCTGGGGGTCTACTGTTGCTATAGTAACGAGCGCCTGTGCTGGGGGTCTACTGTTGCTATAGTAACGAACGCCTGCGCTGGGGGTCTACTGTTGCTATAGTAACGAACGCATGCGCCGGGGTCTACTGTTGCTATAGTAACGAACGCCTGCGCTGGGGGTCTACTGTTGCTATAGTAACGAACGCATGCGCCGGGGTCTACTGTTGCTATAGTAACGAGCGCCTGTGCTGGGGGTCTACTGTTGCTATAGTAACGAACGCCTGCGCTGGGGGTCTACTGTTGCTATAGTAACGAACGCCTGTGCTGGGGGTCTACTGTTGCTATAGTAACGAACGCCTGCGCTGGGGGTCTACTGTTGCTATAGTAACGAACGCCTGCGCTGGGGGTCTACTGTTGCTATAGTAACGAGCGCCTGTGCTGGGGGTCTACTGTTGCTATAGTAAGGAACGCATGCACCGGGTGTCTACTGTTGCTATAGTAACGAACGCCTGTGCTGGGGGTCTACTGTTGCTATAGTAACGAACGCCTGCGCTGGGGGTCTACTGTTGCTATAGTAACGAACGGCTGTGCTGGGGATCTACTGTTGCTATAGTAACGAACGCCTGCGCTGGGGGTCTACTGTTGCTATAGTAACGAGCGCCTGTGCTGGGGGTCTACTGTTGCTATAGTAAGGAACGCATGCACCGGGTGTCTACTGTTGCTATAGTAACGAACGCCTGTGCTGGGGGTCTACTGTTGCTATAGTAACGAACGCCTGCGCTGGGGGTCTACTGTTGCTATAGTAACGAACGGCTGTGCTGGGGATCTACTGTTGCTATAGTAACGAACGCATGCGCCGGGTGTCTACTGTTGCTATAGTAACGAACGCAACTTCAATGCGCATCTGATTGATAGATAAACCGAGCGCTCTTATTTCAGTGTTGTGAATGTTGTGGTTATTTCAGCAGTTTCGTATGTTTACCTGTTAACAATCATTACTACTGTACCTGGTTGAAATGGCAACATCAACTCTCCACTTGAACTCCTCCAGCTTGGCCAGACGCGGCTCCTGCGGTCGAACACTCGCTGAGGTTAGCCTGGAAGAGAAGGACCGCTTCCTCAAGAACCGCTCAGGATAATACAGTCAGATCATATATGTTGTGCTCTGACCTGTTCCCGAAGACCACACTGGACACGTCTGAGAGGAACTCTTCAGAAATCCTGTGATGAACAGATAAACACAGCTGCACACGTCACTTCAACACAGCAGATACAGACGGAAAAGGGAATAATTTACTTTTTATTTGAATTTTACTAGCATAAATAATTAATTTGACTGTACAAGACATCTCTTACCGAAGAGCTCTGAGATCCTCAATGAAAACCTGAAACAAAGACAATTCATTTTGATTAAATGTATGCGTTATCACAGTTATCACAGTATTCAGTAGTTCTACACACTATTATAGAAAAATTTAAACAATTTAAACAATTTTACATTTTGTAATCAAGCTCTGAACGGATTAATCTATAAAGCACTGTGGGTTTGCTGTAGCAGCGTCAGTGAAGACAAACACTCCAGTGAGCACAGTAGAGGGACACACACACACACACACACACACACACACACACAGAGTTAGGAGTGTCCTCAAACCTCCTGTCTGAGCGTAGGCATACGTAGAGCCTCCTTCAGAAGAGCGTATAGTCCTGCCATCACGCGGTTCAGGCTCTCCTCTGAGATGAGTCCGCTCTCGGAGATCCTCTGCACACACTCACAGCAGTCCTGGCCCTGCATGGCCTTCACCACCGCTGGAACACCGCAGGAGAGGAGAGCACAGGTGAACACAGGAGAACACAGGAGAACACAGGAGAACACAGGAGAGCACAGGAGAACACAGGAGAACACAGGTGAACACAGGAGAACACAGGTGAACACATGAGAACACATGAGAACACAGGTGAACACATGAGAACACATGAGAACACAGGAGAACACAGGAGAACACATGAGAACACAGGTGAACACAGGAGAACACAGGCGAACACAGGAGAACACAGGAGAACACAGGTGAACACATGAGAACACAGGTGAACACATGAGAACACAGGTGAACACAGGAGAACACAGGTGAACACAGGAGAACACAGGAGAACACATGAGAACACAGGTGAACACAGGAGAACACAGGTGAACACAGGAGAACACAGGAGAACACAGGTGAACACAGGAGAACACATGAGAACACAGGTGAACACATGAGAACACAGGAGAACACAGGTGAACACAGGAGAACACAGGTGAACAGGAGAACACAGGTGAACACAGGTGAACACAGGAGAACACAGGTGAACACAGGAGAGCACAGGTGAACACAGGTGAACACAGGTGAACACAGGAGAACACAGGAGAACACAGGAGAACACAGGTGAACACAGGTGAACACAGGTGAACACATGAGAACACAGGTGAACACAGGAGAACACAGGTGAACACAGGTGAACACAGGAGAGCACAGGAGAACACAGGTGAACACAGGTGAACACATGAGAACACAGGTGAACACATGAGAACACAGGTGAACACAGGAGAACACAGGTGAACACAGGAGAACACAGGTGAACACAGGAGAACACAGGAGAACACAGGAGAACACAGGTGAACACATGAGAACACAGGAGAACACAGGAGAACACATGAGAGCACAGAACACAGGTGAACACAGGAGAACACAGGAGAACACAGGTGAACACAGGAGAGCACAGAACACAGGTGAACACAGGAGAACACAGGAGAACACAGGAGAACACATGAGAGCACAGGAGAACACAGGTGAACACAGGAGAACACAGGAGAACACAGGAGAACACATGAGAACACAGGTGAACACAGGAGAACACAGGAGAGCACAGGAGAACACAGGTGAACACAGGTGAACACAGGTGAACACAGGTGAACACAGGAGAACACAGGTGAACACAGGAGAACACAGGAGAGCACAGGAGAACACAGGTGAACACAGGTGAACACAGGAGAACACAGGTGAACACAGGAGAACACAGGAGAACACATGAGAACACAGGTGAACACAGGTGAACACATGAGAACACAGGTGAACACATGAGAACACAGGAGAACACAGGAGAACACAGGTGAACACAGGTGAACACAGGAGAACACAGGTGAACACAGGAGAACACAGGTGAACACAGGTGAACACAGGAGAACACAGGAGAGCACATAACACAGGTGAACACAGGAGAACACAGGTGAACACATGAGAACACAGGAGAACACAGGAGAACACAGGAGAACACAGGAGAGCACAGGAGAACACAGGTGAACACAGGAGAACACAGGAGAACACAGGAGAACACATGAGAACACAGGTGAACACAGGAGAACACAGGAGAACACAGGTGAACACATGAGAACACAGGTGAACACATGAGAACACAGGAGAACACAGGTGAACACAGGAGAACACAGGAGAACACAGGTGAACACAGGTGAACACAGGAGAACACAGGAGAACACAGACAGGTGAACACAGGAGAACACAGGAGAACACAGGTGAACACAGGTGAACACAGGTGAACACAGGCGAACATACAGGAGAACATACAGGAGAACATACAGGAGAACATACAGGAGAACATACAGGAGAACACAGGCGAACATACAGGAGAACATACAGGAGAACACAGGTGAACAGGTGAACACAGGAGAACACAGGAGAACACATACAGGAGAACAGGAAAACACAGGCGAACACAGGAGAACAGACAGGAGAACAGGAGAACACAAGAGAACAAAGGAGAACAGGAGAACACAGGAGAACAAAGGAGAACAGGAAAACACAGGAGAACACAGACAGGAGAACACAGACAGGAGAACAAAGGAGAACACAGGAGAACAGGAGAACAGGCGAACACAGGAGAACAGGCGAACACAGGAGAACACAGGAGAACAGACAGGAGAAGTCAGGAGAACAGGTGAACACAGGAGAACACAGGTGAACACAGGAGAACACATGAGAACACATGAGAACACAGGTGAACACAGGAGAACACAGGAGAACACAGGCGAACATACAGGAGAACATACAGGAGAACATACAGGAGAACACAGGTGAACACAGGAGAACACAGGAGAACACAGGAGAACACAGACAGGAGAACACAGGCGAACAGACAGGAGAACACAGGCGAACAGACAGGAGAACACAAGAGAACAAAGGAGAACAGGAGAACACAGGAGAACACAGACAGGAGAACACAGACAGGAGAACACAGACAGGAGAACACAGACAGGAGAACACAGACAGGAGAACACAGGAGAACAGGAGAACACAGGAGAACACAGGCGAACACAGGTGAACACAGGAGAACACAGGAGAACACATGAGAACACAGGTGAACAGGAGAACACAAGAGAACAAAGGAGAACAGGTGAACACAGGTGAACACAGGAGAACACAGGAGAACACAGACAGGAGAACACAGGCGAACAGACAGGAGAACACAGGCGAACAGACAGGAGAACACAAGAGAACAAAGGAGAACAAGAGAACACAGGAGAACACAGACAGGAGAACACTGGCGAACAGACAGGAGAACACAGACAGGAGAACACAGGCGAACAGACAGGAGAACACAAGAGAACAAAGGAGAACAGGAGAACACAGGAGAACACAGACAGGAGAACACAGGCGAACAGACAGGAGAACACAGACAGGAGAACACAGGAGAACAGACAGGAGAACACAGGCGAACAGACAGGAGAACACAAGAGAACAAAGGAGAACACAGACAGGAAAACACAGGCGAACAGACAGGAGAACACAGGCGAACAGACAGGAGAACACAAGAGAACAAAGGAGAACAGGAGAACACAGGAGAACACAGACAGGAGAACACAGACAGGAGAACACAGACAGGAGAACACAGGAGAACAGGAGAACACAGGAGAACACATGAGAACACAGGAGAACACAGGAGAACACAGGAGAACACAGACAGGAGAACACAGGCGAACAGACAGGAGAACACAGGCGAACAGACAGGAGAACACAAGAGAACAAAGGAGAACAGGAGAACACAGGAGAACACAGACAGGAGAACACAGGAGAACAGGAGAACACAGGAGAACACAGGCGAACAGGAGAACACAGGAGAACACAGGCGAACACAGGTGAACACAGGAGAACACAGGAGAACACAGACAGGAGAACACAGGCGAACAGACAGGAGAACACAGGAGAACACAAGAGAACAAAGGAGAACAGGTGAACACAGGAGAACACAGGAGAACACATGAGAACACATGAGAACACATGAGAACACATGAGAACACAGACAGGAGAACACAGGCGAACAGACAGGAGAACACAGGAGAACAGGAGAACACAAGAGAACAAAGGAGAACAGGTGAACACAGGAGAACAAAGGAGAACAGGAGAACACAGGCGAACACAGGAGAACACAGGAGAACACAGGAGAACAGGAGAACACAGGAGAACACAGGAGAACACAGGTGAACACAGGAGAACACATGAGAACACATGAGAACACAGGTGAACACAGGAGAACACAGGTGAACACAGGAGAACACAGGAGAACAAAGGAGAACAGGAGAACACAGGAGAACACATGAAAACACAGGTGAACACAGGAGAACATACAGGAGAACATACAGGAGAACACAGGAGAACACAGGTGAACACAGGTGAACACAGGTGAACACAGGAGAACACATGAAAACACAGGCGAACATACAGGAGAACATACAGGAGAACACAGGTGAACACACAGGAGAACATACAGGAGAACACAGGAGAACACAGGAGAACACAGACAGGAGAACACAGGTGAACACAGGAGAACAGGAAAACACAGGCGAACACAGGAGAACAGACAGGAGAACAGGAGAACACAAGAGAACAAAGGAGAACAGGAGAACACAGGAGAACACAGACAGGAGAACACAGACAGGAGAACAAAGGAGAACAGGAGAACAGGCGAACACAGGAGAACACAGGAGAACAAAGGAGAACACAGACAGGAGAACACAGACAGGAGAACAAAGGAGAACAGGAGAACAGACGAACACAGGAGAACAGACAGGAGAGAACAGGTGAACACAGGAGAACACAGGTGAACACATGAGAACACAGGAGAACACAGGTGAACACAGGAGAACACAAGTGAACACAGGAGAACACAGGAGAACACAGGCGAACATACAGGAGAACATACAGGAGAACATACAGGAGAACACAGACAGGAGAACAGACAGGAGAACAGGAGAACACAGGAGAACAAAGGAGAACACAGGAGAACACAGACAGGAGAACACAGGAGAACAAAGGAGAACAGGAGAACACAGGAGAACACAGGAGAACACAGGAGAACAAAGGAGAACAGGAGAACACAGGCGAACACAGGAGAACACAGGAGAACAAAGGAGAACAGGAGAACACAGGAGAACACAGGAGAACACAGGAGAACAAAGGAGAACACAGGCGAACACAGGAGAACACAGGAGAACACAGGAGAACAAAGGAGAACAAAGGAGAACAGGAGAACACAGGTGAACACAGGAGAACACATGAGAACACATGAGAACACATGAGAACACATGAGAACACAGGAGAACACAGGTGAACACAGGAGAACAAAGGAGAACACAGGAGAACACAGGAGAACACAGGAGAACACAGGAGAACACAGGTGAACACATGAGAACACATGAGAACACATGAGAACACAGGTGAACACAGGCGAACACAGGAGAACACAGGAGAACACAG